TATATATATATATATATATATATATATATATATATATATATATATATATATATATATATATATATATATATATATATATATATATATATATATATATATATATATATATATATATATATATAATTAACTTACTCGAAGAATAATATTTTTAACTTACTTCACATGACAACCTTTAAATTGAATATAATCAATTAATTAAATTAATATTTTTATTTATCATCATTTGACTAAATCTAATTTAAAGACTATAATTATATAATAAGTTATAAAAACTTACTAGTTATTTTTGAATAGAAACATAATTTATTAATTAATTATTTACTATTGCCGTAAAAGTAGAAAAAAATACACTAATTATTGACGTAGTTACGATTCCTAATATTTGTAAAACTATTCTATTTTAAATTTTGAAAGATTTATTTGTGAACTACGTACTAGTTTGTTAGTGACGTGACCTTCATCATCGCATATATGGGTGGAAAAAAACCGCTCATCCGCCCGAAACCGAAGTCAAAAGTTCATAGATGGGCGAGTTATAACGGTTCTCGGGTTCATAAAATAAAATTATCAGTTTTATATGGGTTGGATGGGGAGTTTCGGTTTTGTTAAATGCACCCGGATCTTCAAATTTTTATTACATGTATCGGTCTAAGAGACCAAGAGAGGGTCTGGATTATTCAAATCATCTCTCCTTAAATGACTAAAACTTTAAAATATACCAACTTTAATTATTCGTGTCTTTTCATTCTGACACCATCCCTTTCCAAAAACAGAAGTAACTCATTTATATAAATAAATAATATAGCAATCAAAAGATTCAAGTATGGAGAAGATAATAAAATTATGATATAAGTAAATAAATAATAAGAATGTCTCTTTTATTTTACCAATCACTCTATCAATACTTTCACCTCATATTTCACTATGTCTCTCACATCTACAACACCAACGACACCATTGTTATCATTTTTTTTCTTCAACAAATTTAACCTCTTTTATATTATATCTATCATAAGGGTCTTTTTTTAATTCTTCACAAAGATCATCTGTTCATCTTTTTTTAATATATTTTCTATTTCAATTTTTTTTATGATTTGAATATTTATGATACAAATCTAACCTCCTTTGCATCAGATTTGGTTATCTTTTTAAGAAAAAATAGATCTGAAAATTCTTCTAAAATTTTTTTATAGTGTGAAGCTATTTTCTCTCCTTCAATCCGAATGAACCTGCCTGAAAATTCGTAGCACATTTTTTTTTATTTATAAAAATTCAATTATAGAGATTAAGATTATGAGAGTCATCCTTATTATATCAAAAAAAAAATTGTGAATAATTTATTAAATCATTTTCTTGAAAATTTCACCTTCAAATAAATAATTTATCAATGTTGTTGCAATCACGTTTTGTAAGGATGGACGAAGTAAATTAATAATTTCATTTTATTTTTTTTGTTTTTATTATTTATATGTACAATTTAAAATATTATATCACATATTTTATAATAGAACTAAAAATTTACATTAATATTAAAAATGAAAAATATTTTATTTTTTAATATTGTCAAATTCTTTAAAACAATTAAGCATTTACATTAAGAAAATATATATATATATATATATATATATATATATATATATATATATATATATATATATATATATATATATATATATATATATATATATATATATATATATATATATATATATATATATATATATATATATATATATATATATATATATATATATATATATATATATATATATATATATATATATATATATATATATATATATATATATATACATATAATATATATATATATATATATATATATATATATATATAATTAACTTACTCCAAGAATAATATTTTTAACTTACTTCACATGACAACCTTTAAATTGAATATAATCAATTAATTAAATTAATATTTTTATTTATCATCATTTGATTAAATCTAATTTAAAGACTATAATTATATAATAAGTTATAAAAACTTACTAGTTATTTTTGATTAAAAACATAATTTATTAATTAATTATTTACTATTGCCGTAAAAGTAGAAAAAAATACACTAATTATTGACGTAGTTACGATTCCTAATATTTGTAAAACTATTCTATTTTAAATTTTGAAAGATTTATTTGTAAACTACGTACTAGTTTGTTAGTGACGTGACCTTCATCATCGCATATAGGGGTGGAAAAGAACCGCTCATCCGCCCGAAACCGAAGTCAAAAATTAATAGATGGGCGGTTATAACGGTTCTCGGGTTCATAAAATAAAATTATCAGTTTTATATGGGTTGGATGGGAAGTTTCGGTTTTGTTAAATGCACCCGGATCTTCAAATTTTTTATTACATGTATCGGTCTAAGAGACAAAGAGAGGTCATGGATTATTCAAATCATCTCTCCTTAAATGACTAAAACTTTAAAATATACCAACTTTAATTATTCGCGTCTTTTCATTCTGACATCATCCCTTTCCAAAAACAGAAGTAACTCATTTATATAAATAAATAATATAGCAATCAAAATATTCAAATATGGAGAAGATAATAAAATTATGATAATAGTAAATAAATAATAAGAAGGTCTCTTTTATTTTACCAATCACTCTATCAATACTTTCACCTCATTTTTCACTATGTCTCTCACATCTACAACACCAACGACACCATTGTTATCATTTTTTTTCTCTTCAACAAATTTAGCCTCTTTTATATTATATCTATCATAAAAGTATTTTTTTAATTCTTCACAAAGATCATTTGTTCATTTTTTTTTATATATTTTCTATTTCAATTTTTTTTTATGATTTGAATATTAATGATACAAATCTAACCTCCTTTGCATCATATTTGGTTATCTTTTTAAGAAAAAATAGATCTGAAAATTCTTCTACAATTTTTTTTATAGTGTGAAGCTATTTTCTCTCCTTCAATCCGAATGAACCCACCTGAAAATTCGTAACAAATTTTTTTTATTTGTAAAAATTCAATTATATAGATTAAGATTATGAGAGTCATGCTTATTATATCAAACAATAATTGTGAATTATTTATTAAGTCATTTTCTTGAAATTTTCACCTTTAAATAAATAATTTATCAATGTTGTTGCAATCACGTTTTGAAAGGATGGACGAAGTAAATTAATAATTTCATTTTATTTTTTTTGTTTTTATTATTTATATGTAAAATATTAAATATTATATCACATATTTTATTATTGAACTAAAACTTTACATTAATATTAAAAATGAAAAATATTTAATTTTTTAATATTGTCAAATTCTTTAAAACAATTAAGCATTTACATTAATAAAAAAAATAAATTGATATATATATATATATATATATATATATATATAATTAACTTACTCGAAGAATAATTTTTTAACTTACTTCACATCACAACCTTTAAATTGAATATAAACAATTAATTAAATTAATATTTTTATTTATAATCATTCGATTAAATATAATTTAAAGACTATAATTATAGAATAGGTTATAAAAACTTACTAGTTATTTTTGATTAAAAACATAATTTATTAATTAATTATTTACTATTGGCGTAAAATTAGAAAAAAATACACTTATTATTGACGTAGTTAAGATTACTAATATTTGTAAAACTAGTCAATTTTAAATTTTGTAAGCTTTATTTGTGAACTACGTTCTAGTTTGTTAGAGACGTGACCTTCATCATCGCATATATGGGTGGAAAAGAACCGCTCATCCGCCGGAAACCGAAGTCAAAAGTTCATAGATGGGCGGGTTATAACGGTTCTCGAGTTCATAAAATAAAATTATCAGTTTTATATGGGTTGGATGGGGAGTTTCGGTTTTGTTAAATGCACTCGGATCTTCAAATTTTTTATTACATGTATCGGTCTAAGAGACCAAGAGAGGGTCTGGATTATTCAAATCATCTCTCCTTAAATGACTAAAACTTTAAAATATACCAACTTTAATTATTCGTGTCTTTTCATTCTGACATCATCCCTTTCCAAAAACAGAAGTAACTCATTTATATAAATAAATAATATAGCAATCAAAAGATTCAAGTATGGAGAAGATAATAAAATTATGATAAAAGTAAATAAATAATAAGAATGTCTCTTTTATTTTACCAATCACTCTATCAATACTTTCACCTCATATTTCACTATGTCTCTCACATCTACAACACCAACGACACCATTGTTATCATTTTTTTTTCTCTTCAACAAATTTAGCCTCTTTTATATTATATCTATCGTAAGAGTCTTTTTTTTAATTCTTCACAAAGATCATCTGTTCATCTTTTTTTTATATATTTTCTATTTCAATTTTTTTTATGATATGAATATTGATGATACAAATCTAACCTCCTTTGCATCAGATTTGAAAATTCTTCTACAATTTTTTTATAGAGTGAAGCTATTTTCTCTCCTTCAATCCGAATGAACCCACATGAAAATTCGTAACATATTTTTTTATTTGTAAATATTCAATTATACATATTAAGATTATTAGAGTCATCCTTATTATATCAAACAAAAATTGTGAATAATTTATTAAATCATTTTCTTGAAATTTTCACCTTTAAATAAATAATTTATCAATGTTGTTACAGGTAATTTGAAAACTGTGATGGACAACACTGTTGAAAGGATTCCTAGGACTGTAGGAAACAACTACACTGCAGGTAATAAGGTTATTATTGCTAGTTCCCCTGCTGTGATTAACACTGTTAAGGGTAATACCTTAGCTGAGATTTCCACTGATCTGGTTAGTAAGGCTGCCGATCCACCTCCAGAAAATGAAGTTAACCTAATTGAGCAGGTGGAGGCAGTTATGGAAAAATGGATAGAAGTCATAAGAAGTGGTAAGGACAGAGGCAAACAAATATTTAACCCCAACAGTGTAAACAAGATTGTTTGTGATAATGGATTTGAGGCTCTTGAGATTTCGAAGGATCTTATAGAGTCTCAAAATACTGGCCAATGATTACATCTTGGAACATGAGGGGGCTGAATAAATTGGGGATGTTAAAGGAGATTAGCTCCCGTCTCTTTAATCTTCACCCTAAGATTGCAATCTTACTAGAGACAAGAGTTAAGCATGACAAGGCGAGAAAAATCAGAGATCAGCTTAACCTCAAAGGACAATATCTTGACAATTACAAAGAACATTACAATGGCAGAATTTGGATCTACTGGGATGAGAGACAATGTGATGTCAGAGTGATAAAATGCACATCACAGATGATACACTGTGGTATCCATGATGTAAATGGAGTATTCCAAACCTGGATGACAACTATCTATGCGCTGAACCAACTTGAGCAAAGAAGGAAACTGTGGGAAGACTTGAAACAAATTCATGACAGCCAACAGGGCCCTTGGTTCCTTATGGGCGATTTCAACAATGTAACTAAATCTATGGACAGAATAGGTGGGAACCTGGTGACTGAAAGAGAGTTTGAAGATCTCAGAAGCTTGATGGATTATGCTGGCCTGTTTGAGAAGGATAGCACTGAAGACTATTTTACCTGGATAAATAAACACTCTATAGGTACCATTTATTCAAAAATTGACCATGTTCTTGGTAATATAGATTGGCTGCAGGGAAATATTGATTTGAAGTTGGAGATTCTCCCTCCTAGTATCTCTGATCACTGCCTTTTAGGTTTGAATGCTGTGAAGATTAACAGAGCAGTACAAACAAAATTCAAATTTACAAATAGTGTGGTGAAGATATCAGATTATCATGACACTGTCAAACAGAACTGGAACAAAGAGATTACTGGCAGACCCATGGCTAGACTGTGGTATAAATTGATGAGATTGCAAGCTCCCCTAAGTAGACTGAGCAAACAGTTTTCAAACCTCCAGGAGACCATTGTTCAAGCAAGGAATGATTTACTACAAACCCAGGAAAGTCTCATAATGGACATAATGAATACTGAGATCATTGAGAAAGTTAAAACCTGTACTGATGTATTGACCCATCTGCAAGAACTTTAGGACCAAATGCTGAGACAGAAGACAAAGATTAATTGGCTTAGAGAAGGCGATACGAATTCATCTTTCTTCTATGCTTACCTCAAATCTAGGACTACAACCACAAATATTAGCCAACTCTATAAAGATGATGGCACCTGCATTCACAACCAGGAAGACATAGAAAAAGAGGTGTGTGAGTTTTATGGAAAATTGATGGGCACAAGGGAACCTAGAATAAATATGATTAATATTGATGTCATGAGGGAGGGGCCTCAACTGTCCATGGAACAAAGAGCTAATCTAATTTCACCAGTGTCTGTTACCGAAATCACTAATGCCTTAAAAGGAATAGGTGACCTTAAGAGCCCAGGTATCGATGGGTACGGAGGAAAATTTTTCAAAGCCAGTTGGGACATTGTTGATAAAGATGTTATTGAAGCTATTACAGAATTCTTTGAGCAGAATGTGATTTATAAAGCTTTCAATGAAATAATTGTTACTCTTATTCCTAAACAGCCGGATGCCAAAACCTTGAAAGATTACAGGCCAATTGCTGGATGCTCAACAATCTACAAAATCATATCCAAGATCCTTACAACCAGACTTGGGAAGGTGTTGGGAAACATCATCAGTAAAGCGCAGGCAGCTTTTGTTCTAGGTCAGAAAATCCACTCTCACATCTTACTAGCTATGGAACTTTTAAAAGGTTATAATAGGAATACTGGTACTCTTAGATGCATGGTACAATTAGATCTCCAAAAAGCTTATGGCATGGTTGATTAGGGTGCTCTTAAAAATATTCTTAGTGAAGTAGGAATACCTAAGAAATTTGTTGATTGGATTATGACCACTGTGACTACAGTTTCTTATAGATTTAATATCAATGGCAAGTATACTGATAAGATCAATGCAAGAAGAGGTATTAGGCAAGGGGACCCTTTATCCCCTCTCCTGTTTTTAATAATTATGGAATATCTCAGCAGATTACTTTTCAGAACGCAAAAGAATCCTGACTTCAACCACCATGTTAAATGTGAAAGGCTGCAAATCACCCATTTAACCTTTGCTGATGACCTCTTGTTGTTCTCTATAGGCGATCATGTGTCCATGGATATTCTACAATTAACTTTAAACAAGTTTCTGGATTCTACAGGTTTGAAAATAAACCCTTCTAAGAGTAGGGTGTATTTTGGTAATGTTTCCGAAAATGTCAAATGTGCCATCCTCCAGCTAACCTCCTACAAAGAAGGGTCTCTCCCCTTTAGATACCTTGGTATTCAGTTGACTAGTAAGCGTCTTGCTGTTATCCATTACATGCCTTTATTGGACAGGTTATTAAGTAGAATAACTCACTGGAGTTCTAGATTGCTGAGTTATGCAGGTAGGCTGCAACTCATCAAGAGTGTGCTCTATGCCATCACAACCTATTGGATGCAATGTATTTGGTTCCCAAAAACTGTGATCAACAAGATCAACGCAATCTGTCGATCTTTTCTATGGACAGGTGGTAATATTATCAGTAGGAAAAGTCCAGTAGCGTAGGATAATGTTTGTAAACCACATGTGAAAGGCGGACTAAATGTGATGAATTTGGAAACTTGGAATAGTATGCTTATGATAAAACTTCTCTGGAATATCTATGCAAAATCTGATGATTTATGGGTTCGCTGGATACATGCTTATTACTTGAGACATAAAGGTATTCTGACTAGAATTGTTAAGGGATCGGAATCTGGAATTTTCAAAGCAATTCTAATACAAAGGGACAATCTAGTGACTATACAGAGTACATGGAATGATATGCTGCAGACAGGTAAATTCCATGGGAGAAAAGTGTATCAAACCCTTCTACCTATTACTCCTAATGTTGCATGGGCCAAATTAATTCTTCACAATAGAGCTAGACCCCGTGCAGTTATTACTCTTTGGATGATCTGCCATGATAAGTTAGCTACCAAGTCTAGACTTTTCAGATTTGGAATGCTCAATAATAACAAGTGTGTTTTTTGCAATGAAGAGGAAACCATTGATCACTTATTTTGTTGTTGTTTGGAATTGAAGCAAATCTGGATTGGTATTCTTCAGTGGATGGGTATTCAACACAGTCCAAAAAGATGGAAAGAGGAAATGCAATGGGTTCTAAGAAATTATGGTGGGTAAGGCTGGAAATCTGATCTGTTTAGGCTTGCCCTTACAGAAACTCTTCATGAGATCTGGCTTTCTAGAAATGAATCATGTTTTAATCAAAGAACTGATAACAGGAAGTGCCTAGATAGAATTATAAACAACATAATATATAGAGGGTGGACTAGTCCTGAGCTTAGACCACATATAGCTAGGTCGATTTTACCTTAAAGTAGTTTTGTTTGTTTTGTTGGTTGGATCCTCTGATTGCCTTGTTATGTAATGATTTTTTGAGTTAATGCCAAATTTCTTGATTCAAAAAAAAAAATGTTGTTGCAATCACATTTTGTAAGGAAGGACGAAGTAAATTAATAATTTCATTTTATTTTTTTTGTTTTTATTATTTATATGTACAATTTTAAATATTATATCACATATTTTATAACAGAACTAAAAATTTACATTAATATTAAAAATGAAAAATATTTTATATTTTAATATTGTCAAATTCTTTAAAAAAGTTAAGCATTTACATTAAGAAAAAAAATAAATGTTTATATATATATATATATATATAATATATATATATATATATATATATATATATATATATATATATATATATATATATATATATATATATATATATATATATATATATATATATATATATATATATATATATATATATATATATATATATATATATATATATATATATATATATATATATATATATATATATATATATATATATATATATATATATATATATATATATATATATATATATATATATATATATATATATATATATATATATATATATATATATGTAATTAACTTACTCAAAGAATAATTTTTTAACTTACTTCACATCACAACCTTTAAATTGAATATAATCTATTAATTAAATTAATATTTTTATTTATAATCATTCGATTAAATCTAATTTAAAGACTATAATTATAGAATAAGTTATAAAAACTTACTAGTTATTTTTGACTAAAAACATAATTTATTAATTAATTATTTACTATTGGCGCAAAAGTAGAAAAAAATACACTTATTATTGATGTAGTTACGATTACTAATATTTGTAAAACTAGTCTATTTTAAATTTTGAAAGATTTATTTGTGAACTACGTACTAGTTTGTTAGAGACGTGACCTTCATCATCGCATATATGGGTGGAAAAGAACCGCTCATCCGCTCGAAATCGAAGTCAAAAGTTCAAAGATGGGCGGGTTATAAGGGTTCTCGGGTTCATAAAATAAAATTATCAGTTTTATATGGGTTGGATGGGCAGTTTCGGTTTTGTTAAATGCACCCGGATCTTCAAATTTTCTATTACATGTATCAGTCTAAGAAACAAAGACAGGTCATGAATTATTCAAATCATCTCTCCTTAAATGACTCAAACTTTTTTTTTTGAATCAAAACTTCATTAATCCAAAGACAGAAGTAATACAAGGCGATCAAAATCCAGCCCACACCATGAAACAACATAAAACTTACTGTACCATAAAAAAGCTATATGTGGTCTAAGCTTAGGACTCGACCACCCTCTATAGACAATGTTGTTAATGATTCTATCTGTACAATTTCTATTGTCATTTCTTTGATTAAAACAAGTGTCATTTCTAAATCTCCACAACTCATGTAAAGTTTCAGTCAGAGCTAATCTAACAAGATTAGCTTTCCAACCTTTACCACCATAACAATTCAAAATCCAGTTTCTCTCCTCATTCCAATTCCCGGGATTGTGAGGGATACCAATCCAAAGAAGTATTTCTACCCAAGCCTTCCTCAAAGTAGCACACTCAAAAAAAAGGTGGTCAATGGTTTCCACCGCGGAGCAAAAAACACATTGGTCATTATTCACCATACCAAACCGATTCAATTTGGCCTTTGTGGCTAGCTTCCCATGACAGATCATCCAGAGAGTATATATTGCACGAGGTCTTGCTCTATTATAGAGAATTAGCTTGGCCCAAACAACATTAGGTGTGGCCGGTAACAAGTTCGCATACACTCTTCTACCAATGAATCTGCCTGCTTGCACCATCTCATTCCAAACCATCTGCATATTGCCTATGTTTTCCCTCTGCAAAAGAATAGTTTTAAAAATATTTGAATCAGAATTTTTAACCATTCTATACATTACATCCTCATTCTTCAGGTAATAGGCGTGAATCCACCGAACCCATAGATCATCTGTTTTCCTGCATATATTCCAGAGTAACTTCATCATAAACATGCTATTCCATACCACTAAATCAAGAACATTCAACCCTCCTTTCACAGCAGGTTTACAAACCTTATCCCAAGCAATCAGACTCTTCCTACTTATGGTGCTATCTCCTGTCCAGAGAAAGGATCTGCAGATGGAATTGATTTTGCTAATCACAGTTTTAGGGAAACAAACACACTTCATCCAATATGAGGTAATAGCATATAGCACAGTCTTAATCAACTGTAATCTACTGGCATAGCTAAGAAGTCGAGAGCTCCAATGAGTAATCCTACTCAACAATTTATCCACCAACGGCATATAATGAATCACAAACAGCTTTTTGATACTCACAGGGTCTGAAACACTACCAAAATACACTTTACTCTTGGCAGGGTTAATCTTCATACCTTTTGAATCCAAAAAGCTAGTGATGGTGCGCTGCAGAATCTCCATGGAACCTTTATCACCTCTAGAGAACAGTAGGAGATCATCAGCAAATGTAAGATGGGTGAGCTGCAGCTTTTCACATCTGGCATGGTGATTGAAATCCGGATTTCTTTGCATTCTGAATAGCAACCTGCTAAGGTACTCTATAATAATCACAAACAGGAGGGGGGACAAAGGATCCCCTTGTCTAATACCCCTTCTTGCTTCTACCTTG